TAAGCTGCACTCAGAGGGCCAACTTCGTCTTTTCCCTTTAGGAACGGAAATGCTAAGGGCTGTTTTATTTTCCCCTCCTTTCTCAACTCACCTATCTTATTTTTGTGCGCACGCTTCAAAAAATGCTAAACGATGTGTTTTTTAAAAATATATATATAAGTTTTTCTAAAAAAGCATATTAATTTTTTTAAAAAATAGACTAATACTTAACTAAGTATACGTTCACTACTGGAGAAATGATCTTTAGAGGGTCGAGTGATTTCCACAATAGTCCCGATTCTAATAAGAACCGTGACTAAAGATTATTTTTAGTCCCAGTTACAAAAAAAAATTGATCTTCACTCTCGGTTCCCGGTTCATCCCCTGTCAGAAACCTGGCAGGGGGCCAAGGATCTTTAGTCCCGGTTGATAATACCAACCGAGACTAAAGATTACCACTTTAGTCCCGGTTGGTACTATCAACCGGGAATAAAGATCACTTAGATCTTTAGTCCCGGTTGGTACTACCAACCGGGAGTAAAGATTTATCTTTAGTCCCAGTTTTTAATACATTCGAAACTATTGTGAAATCTGGTCGACCGACCAAAGTATCCCCAATTAGGATAGATGAGAGAGATCAATTAGGATTGGCATCCATAAGAGGCAACATTTACGCGATCTACAAGAGAGGGAACAGAGAAGAGAGTTTATTTGGGAGCAAACGAAAATAAAAATAAATTCATGCGAGTGTTTTGGAGGTAATACTATCTTTTAGTTAACAAGAGGTGACATGAAAAAAAAAATAAAGGTAACAACTACCTCTACTATTAAACTAAACTTGCTCCTGTGACTTTATCTAACTTAAAAAATGTTAGTACAATTGATATCGACATACGCAATAATTGCCCATTGTACAAGGGTATTATATATTGTCAAATGATTAACTAAAAGAAAATAGTGAGGAAGATATATAAATTATCAAATACGGAGAGATGCAGTAATTGCACATAATACGAGGAATATTTTATAAATTATCAGAGTTGAATATATAAAAACAACATAATTAGAGTTGATAATAAAAATATATCGGTGGCAATAACACAATATTTACTAATTAATCCACCCACATAAATGAAAAAAAATTGTGTCGGCTGCACGCGCCTCTCTTTCTCTCTCACAATTGGCTTGGAGGCCACACACGTCCACTCAGAAGTGCATACGCACACTTTCTGTCATCACCTCCTACGGCTCCCTTGCGCTAGCTCCATTTGGCGTAAAAGGACGAGAGTAATCCGATATTTTAATGATGCACAGATTGTCTGACGAGCCAACTCAACTTAAAAACTCTGAGCTAGCTCGACTTTGACTCGTTAACATAAATAAGGCCATGTTTAGTTTCTAAAATAAAAATTTTCACACTATCATATCGAATGTTTGGACATATACATAAATATTAAATGTAGGAAAAAACCAATTATACAGATTGCGTGTAAATTGCGAGACGAATCTTTTAATTCTGATTGCGCGATGATTTGACAATGTGGTGCTACAGTAAATATTTATTAATGACAGATTAATTATGCTTAATAAATTCGTCTCACAATTTCCTGGCGGAATCTGTAATTTGTTTTGTTATTAGACTATGTTTAATACTACTTCAAATATGTGTCCGTATATCCGATGTGACAACCAAACCTAAAAATTTTTTCCAACTAAACAAGGCATAAGAAGTTAAAAATGGAGCTAGACTCGACTCGCTAACAAGTTCGAGTTAGCTTGTTAAACTTATTGAACGATTTCAACATTTAAATTATGCATCTAGTATGATTTGTGAGCAATATGACCATGGACTATGATTAACAAACTATGCATTATGACTCATAAAATTGTGATACGGTATACAGTTGTAAGTTTACTGTCTACGTATATACATGATATGGATGATGCACTTGTATTTTAATGTATCACGAGCTGAAAGAGCTAAGAGACTAAGGGCATCCTCAATGTTTGTGGTGTAGTGTAACCTTAAGGTGGGCCCTATGAATAGTGAGCCATTGTTATAGCCATACTCACAATGCTATTGTTAGAATTTAGCCACAAGAGGGCCCACATAGAATGTAAAAATAATTGTTTCATCTCTTGTTCATGAAGTGGATGAGAGAGAAAAAATATTTTCTTTTTGCTTGTGGTAGAACTTAAGCATAAGGTGCACCCTAAGGTAATGCTACTTTCCACAATATATATGGCTCACTTTACAAGTACAATCATTGCCTTAAGATCACCTTTTTCATACATTGTGGTTGCCCTAACTCGTGAGCAAGCTAGCTCGATCTGCCTCGTTAAGCAAACGAGCAAAAGTTCAAACTCAATCCGACTCATTAACTGCTTAAGTCTACCTGAGCCATTTTTATATGAGTGGAGTTGGCTTATGAGATTTGAGTTTTTCAATCCACGCTCGAGGAGATCATTCAATAAGAGCGTCCCATTTTTTAATTTTTTTGAACCTTTTTATTTTTAGTATTAAAAATAAAGCCATCTTGAACCTTTTAATTTTTAGTATTAAAAATAAACCCTTCTAAAACTTATTTTCATGATCTATACCTTTTGACTACACCAGTCCATCTGACGTCGACATGGCAAAATAGCACTGACACGCCACACATAGGCATGACAATTTTGTCCCGCCGCGCCAACTAGAGTTGTGGCACCAAACAACATTGCTACGCCAGTCTGATTGGCGTGGCCAAATAACACTGTTGTGCTAGCTTAGACCGGCATGGCAGAGTGTACATAGTTTTGCTATGCCAATTTGGTTGACATGGTCAGAAGATTCAGTTCTTGAAAATAAGCTTTAAAATTAAAGTTTTAAATGGTTTACTTTTAAAATTAAAAACTAAAAAGGTTCAAACAAAATTCCACGTGTCCCTCATTACATAAAAAGCAATATATATTTTTTTTCTTGATATTACTATGCAGATAATTTACGAATATCAATGTTTTTGTTAACTTGGGTTTATTGATGTATTCAGTAGCTCATGAAATGTATTTCAGTTGCTCATGAAATGCTGGAGCAATATTTAACTCTAGTGCTAGTGAGGAGACATGAGAACAAATCGGCAATATAATGGTACCATGCATGTTAGAAATTTTCATTGATCACCAGGCTTAGGGTACTGTAAATGCATCATTATCTAAAGTAAAATGTACTGTGTAGGTGGATATATAGCAAAGGATGCCCATGTGGGCAGATGGCACTTAGAAAACATATAGAATGGACAGCAAATCTCAGTTATATATATATATATATATATATATATATATATATATATATATATATATATATATATATATATATATATATATGTGTGTGTGTGTGTGTCTGAGATGCTCTCGGCCATCGATCTAAATTGTGATATAAATTAACCCTATCGATCTCTTCCTAAAGTTTTTGTATATATAGGAGCGGAGGGAGTAGTAAAGCCTACAGTACGCTAGCTAGCTACTGGGGCGAAAGGTTAGTAGTACTATAACCATCCTCTTCCCTCTTTGCATTTCTTAGCTTGTTGCATCCTCATTGAGCTAAAGGTCACATTTTATTTCAAATTATATTTTCTATGCTTGTATTCATTGAATCTGTTCCAGATCATCCCAAGAACTGGAGATAGATAGATATATATATTATAATCTTCACAATAAATTCACATGCTTGTATTTTCTGATATAAGTATTCAAGAACTGAAGTGTTGTATTCAAAATGAAGGCGCTTGTATTTTTATACGTTGTGAGATATGTGCATGCACCAGCATGAAAATGTCCTATACCAAACTAATTATATTTATGCCTATGCTTTTGGTAACAAAACCTTCGTTTCCCATTCTAAATAGATGGTGGGTGCATGACGGATTATTCTGACAGATGAGAAGATATAAATGAATTAAATGTTACAAAGTGGAAAGTAGCTAGTTTAAATTAAAAAGCTTTCTTACAAATGCTGATGAAGAAGGTTAATTACCAGAGGAATCAAAGAAATCATATCATTTAGGAGCTTGGGAAGCTTGTCTACGATAATCACATCATCCAACCCCTAAACCAAATGGGAGCAGCACCAGCTGATTTTTCCCCTTATTTTCCAGCATGCACCAATTAAGTACCACACATATATAGCACAGAATCTAAACATTCTTTGTGTAATGGCATCTTGTAACTTGAATGCACCACTACTAGAAGAACGGTTCTTGATGCGCCTGCAAACACACCTGATTTGTACCGGCCGGCTAGAGGTGGATCAGAAGATACATACCTGTGTAAACAGCTTATGCGCAGCCTGCACAAAAGTTTTTTTAGAATAGTACACGTTGTTTGCAGCAAAGCATTTCATCTAGCCAACTCGATAGTATTTTATGATATTAATTATATCCATGTCATTCAATTTCTCCAACGATATCCTTGTGAAATGAATAATATTTTTTTAGAAGTATATATCATATATTTTTTCCTGAAAAATAATGAAATTGTTCTTGATGTACAGCCATTGTGTTAGATAGAGATGAACTATCTAACAAAAATTGTAAAAAGAACATTCAATGGATCTCTGGAATGACACTATGTCCTGGTTTAGTTACCCAAAATTTTACCCCAAAAAAATCACATAGAATCTTTGGACACATGCAAGGAGCATTAAATATAGATTAAAAAACTAATTGCACGGTTAGAGGGAAATCGCGAGACGAATTTTTTGAGTCTAATTAGTACATGATTAGCTATAATTAAGTGCTACAGTAACACACGTGTGCTAATGACGGATTAACTAGGCTCAAAAGACTCGTCTCGCGGTTTCCAAGCGAGTTATAAAATTAGTTTATCTTTCGTATCCGAAAACCCCTTCCGATATCCGGTCAAACATCCGATGTGACACCCAAAATTTTCTTTTCGCAAACTAAACATGCCCTATATACGAATTCAATAATAAATGTAAATATTGTCTTCTGCTGGCTTATGAATTTTTTTATGATGTCAGAAGGAATGGCCTCGGTATTTTCTGCTCTAAACAGAATGTTTTCCAGGATGCTTTCGTCACCAACGGAACTTCCCTTGTACAATAATGTAAGTAGAGTCACTTTGTGTTTGTAATTGAAGAAAATAAAAATTCTAGGATTTGAGGATAAACAAATCTCGTACGTATCAAATTAGCAAAAATTAAACTAGATAATCAAGGCATTTTTAAGTGGTGATAAATTATAATTGCAGGAAGGGTATTTGTATGTGCAAACAAATGTTAGGTAGAAAGTATCAAAATGCTATCAAATGGACGTAGTTGAAGGAACGATAGACAATAATAATGCAATTATATTTTTTATGTAGTAAAGTTTTTTTTAAGTCCTTTTGATTATGCTTTCATCAATGGTATACGTCGTAAACGTATGCCTATTTAAAATAGGTTTAAAAAAAGGATAAGTTATACATTTGTCATAAACACTACTACGAAAGGATTATTCCGTGAAAAAAAAAGGTTTTCCTGTGCAGGTGGGCAAACCGTATGCACCTAAGTGTCTTAAAAAATCGCTATTTTTACATGCTGGTGGTGTACCGCACGTAAAAATCAAATTTTCACGCACGGGGTAGTTATGTCGCCCGCACGCAAAAATTAAAAATCCAAAAAAGAAACCTAACCGTAGCCATCGCTGCCGTCGTCACCGTCGCCGCTTGCTCCAATCGCCGTCGCCGGATCCGCCGCCCGCTCCTGCGCTGTCGCCATCGCCACCCGCTCCCGCCGCTGTCGCCGGACCCGCGCTACCCGCTCCCGTCACCGTCGCCGGATCCGCCGCCCCCATGCCTTCCCCCTGCCGCGGACGCCACCCTCCCCTCCGGTCGCACCGCCGGCGACGCCCCTCCCCTCCGCCGGATCTGGGAGGGGAGGAAAGGAAGGGGAGGGGAGCCAGAAGCCGTGCAGGGGTTAGCTGCCGCCCACCGGATCCCGCGCCTCCACTGTCGGAGGGGTCCGCCGTGCGTGGTACAGTACTAGTACTACTACTACAACAGCAGTACTACTATGTGTATATAGGAGCTGGATACTATGAACCAAGGTGCAAATGCACCTGGATAGTTTGACACGTGCACCTAATTCCCTTCATGGTGGCTGCAAGGGATGGTATATGTTGTAATTTTTGTGGTCCAAAATGCCCCTCAAGTAGTACTACAGTAGTTCGAACAAATAATTTTTTTTATTCATGAACAGATTAGTTGTTATTAGTTCAATATTTGTGGTTTTCCTTTTTTTTTAAGTTATGACCTACGTTTATTTAATATGTTGATAAAAATATATATTATATTTCTGAAAAATATATGATGTAGATTCAACACCACATATTATGAGATGATATGTGTAAAATTGATATTTTATTCAAGAATAATGTATTTCTACCCCCCCCCTCCCGGAACGGCTGTATTATCTTTCTATGGGTGGATTTTGTGTTCCCTTTATTTTGCATTTGCACATATTTCTTTTCTCATGGTTGTCTAGTCAATTTATTTGGTATCAGTCTTTGAAATGTTATGCAAGTTATGGGTTTAGATATAAATTATTTTCTGAATGCTATTTAGAGATGTGTCATTTGCAAGTTTCATTTTCAGAGAAATGCCATTAGTATGAACTTTAGGAAACCATTTGCACATTTATTTAGATATATAAATCATTTTCTAAATGCTATTTCGAGAAATGTCATTAAGAAATCATCTGCAAATTTTATATTTCATAGAAACAAAGATATATGATATATCAGTATGAATATGTTCAACAAATCTAAATATATATATATCACTCAGCTATAAAGTGAAGAGAGATAAAAAAATACTAATGTTTATCCGTACCTGTACAGGATAGAAATTTGCTTTGAATCAATGAATGCTTGCGCTGTCGCATACTACTAGAAAAGGGAAATTAGGGAATAAATCAAAATGTGCCAGTGCATTGTGTACCTTCCCCATCTCTCCCCTATACAGTAAACCATCATTTTGTCACGGCATGGTACATTTCACTAGCACGAATCTCAAGACCCATCAATAGTGTAGATTGTTGGTGTATATGAACTTAGGTTCACATTTGATTTTCCATATACATACACACACGTATAAACTTTATATTATTTTATATATACGTATAAGTTTTGTATTAATAATATAAAGTTTATACGTATGTATATAAAGTATAATTTTTATGTGTACCAAAAAATCGTCGTATAAAAAATATACATATATACAAACTTTGCATACGCGTATACAAACTTTGCATACGCATATATAAACTTTGTATATGTACATATTAAAAACCGAGAGAACAATACGAATACAAAGTTTGTATACGTATGAATACAAACTTGGTATACATGCGAATACAAACTTTGCAATACGTACATCTAAAAAAAGGAAAAAAACCAGAAACAGAAGAGAAACGGAAAAAACAAAAAAAAGGGAAAAATCACTTCTCTGTTCCTTCAGCGCGGCGCGCCATCCGCTGCCCCCTCTCCGCGCGCGACACGTGTCCAGTTGCGCGCGGTCGCGCGGGCAAGGGTGCGCGCGACTAGCCGCCCATTAACTTTTTCGCTCACATTACCCCCCCCCCCCCCTCCCACGCTCCCTACCCACCACCCTCTTCCAAAAAGAAAAACCACATCCCTCCCCCTATCTTTTTATTTTTCGTTGGCATTCTGTTCCCCCGTTTCTTTTTTTTTCTCCTTTCCACCTATAGGTTACTAGCCTTATCAGTCCACGAGTAAAATAATTACTCAGCAGAATACATGCTTCGTAGTGAACTTATCCTAAATAGCAGCAGCTTGTTATTACTTTGTATTGACGTCTGGACTAGCCACAAGTAAAACATCGTGCGTGTGTTTCAAACATTAATACGAGTATTGATGAATATTTGTTTCACCTGTACTGTTTCTGCTGCATGCATTCGTACATACAATCATACCCAGCCAGGAATTTGGATCCACTTGAGTTTAATTAATTAATTTCTTAAAATTGATGTCATCACAATCAATTATAGGTTGTTTAATTTTTTATTACTACTGGGCAATGGTACGTGCAGCGTCCTGTCGAAGGGGTCACAAGAGCAGGGCATGTGAAGGAGGTAGCGGAGAGGCTCAAGGCATTCTTCCAAAAGGCGACGGTGGGGAGAAACGCGGTTATACTCCCCTCGCTCCTCGGGAAAATCTTCATATCCCGCTCCAACCACGCCGGCCTGCGAGCGTGGGGCACCACCACCGTCTGGCTCCACGCCGTGCCACTGCTGATGAACGTGCTGTGTGCGGGGATGGTGGCCGACCTCCCCGCCGCCGGCACAGCCACCTCCGACGACGACGACGACCACCCGCGGGACATCTACGTCAACGTGGAGAGGATGTGCACCGCCGCCTACGTCTCGACGGCCTTGATGACGCTCGCGGCGTCCGCGTCACTCTTGCTCCTCGACGCGTCGCTCTACTACGTGCTGGTCGTCGTCACCTTGCTGCTCCTGGTCCTTGGGTTTCTCGCCTTTCTCTTCTGGCAACAGATGAACCTGGACGGGAACGGATCTTCTGCAGCTGGCGGAGAGCGACGACGGAGCCATGGATGCGGCCACATCAAGGCGGCGATGTACTTCAGCAGGCATAACGCCACGCTCACACGGTTGTCGGCGATGTCCTCGGATGTCGCGTCGTTCGTGTTCGCGGGGCTGTCTGGTGCTATCGTAGGCTACGTCAAGGCGTCCGCGAGCACCTGGCCTCCCGCCGGCGCCGGGCACAGGATGCCCGAGGAGTTGATGCTCTACAGCGGTGCCCTGGGGCTCGCCACGGCGCTCATCACCGCGGTGCCGCCATGGGTGGTGGAGCCGAGGGGCCGAGGGCTAAGAGACCGTTTCGTCAACGTGCACGCGCGCGTGCTCGCCTACGCGGCGCTGCTGTTCCTCGCCCTGGCGTGCGTCCTCGCGGCGCAGGAGATACTGCACGGGTGGGCCGTCCTCATCGCCTTCGCCAACCTCGCGTTCGCCGCCGTCTGCTTCCGTGTGGATTTCCTGGCGGCGGCGGTGTTGCAGGACGACGACGATGCCAATGGCGCCGGTGTCGACCAAGAAGGCGGCGGCGGCGTCACCAATTTCTTCGTGGCGCTATACCACCCGTCAGCTCTGGGAATGCTAATGGCGGCGTACTCAACCTACGCCGGCGGCAAGGAGGCGGCACACCTGAGCTGGCTGTTCAAATGCTTCGTGTGGCTCTTGGTCGGCAGCATCGTCACGTACCTGTGTCGGATGGTGATTAAGGTGGAGATGCGAGGGGCGTCGACATTGGTGCGTAGGAAGGTGGAACTACTGTGGACTCGGATGAGCGTCATTCTCGCACTACTCGCCTTGGCTTTTTGCGTAATAGCCGTGGTGGTTCCCGGGAGCCGGAGCGAGATTGTAGCTGTTTTCGTTTAAGGGATTGCGAATTGGTTATTTTTGCTACAGTACACCATAACTTCGTGGTTTTAGCTGTTGGATATGGCAAAAAGAGACTTTTGGGTGAAAACACCTCAAAAGTTAGATATTTGCAGTGGGCACCGTACCCATTAAAATAATAATTTCCGATTGAAGAGGAGAGAGAAATCGTGTAAAATGTCAAAAATGCCCTTGGGCCCATATGTCAGCTCTCCTATCTCTCTTCTCTATATCCCCTCCTTCTCTTCTCTCTCATCTGACATGTTAGCGATGATGACGGCAGGCAAGATCTGGCGACGGCGGGAGGGCTAAGGCGGAGCGGCCGCGGCGACAACGCTAGAGGCCTCCTCACTCTGCGTGCCAGCCCTCCTCTACACTCCGCGATTGCCGTCAGGCCTCCGCACGCCGTAGCCGTCACCGTCCAGCCACGCCACCGCTCCTCCATACGCAGTTGCCACTGCCGGACCTCGCTTGTTGTCCGGCCGGCGCCGCTGGTCGGGCGCCGTGGCCGCTGCGCCCTTGCCTTCTGCCGTCATCGCTGCCGGACCTCGCCCTCGCCTGCATGTCGCTGCGGCCGCTCCGCCCTAGCCTCCCGCAGCCAGCGGACCTCGCCTGTCACCATCGTCGCTGACATTTGAGATGAGAGAGAGAAGAGGAGGGGATAGAGAGAAGACAGAGAGGAGAGTTGACATGTGGGCCTAAGGGCATTTTTGATATTTTATACGATTTCTCTCTCCTTTTCAACCGTAAATTATTATTTTAATGGGTGCGGTGTCCACCAGCAAATATCTAACTTTTGGGAGTGTTTTTACCCAAAAAGTCAATTCGTGTCATTTCCTACTACTAAAATCGTGAAGTCACGGTGTCTTGTAGGTTAATTCGTACATCATATCAATGCATGTACATCAGGACCATGGCCTTACTATATGTATCTGGGTACATATGTAAACATATTTCATATGGTATAAATTTACTCCATTTGTTCCAAAATATAACTTATATCACTCAGAATTTATCCCAAAATAGTATAATAACTTCACCAATATTCACTTCTCAACCAATCACAACCCTTCGCCATTCATTTTTTCCACCTATCTCCACTTCTCAACCAATCACAATATCTCTCTATTTAATTATACTTATTTTTCTAGTAAGTGTACCCAACTCAAAAACCTCTTATATTCGGGACGGATGTAGTAAATTCTCACTACGGACCATCTAGCTAGAATAACCGGGGGGAGATGTTTTTCTTGGACTTTTCGCGTTGATTATTTACTTTTCTCGTGCGTAGGGTTTTTTTTGTGCTCTTCAGTAATATTGGTCTAAAAACATTTTATTTCTCAGATTGAATTAAGCGACAATCGTCTGAACAATATCAAGGATATTATGTTAGGGTTTTGCTTTTGGCGGCGCCTGGGCGACCGGGCGGCAGCGGCCGTCATATCCGTGGTGAGATGGAATTGGATGGGGTTTATCTACGATCCATTCTTGTGGTCTGCAGGGGTTTCGCCTGCTCGTGTGTTACTGGAATCCAGTGGAGATTACATCGCTTGGTTCCGCCGTGACTATGAGTCTGCCCGTGTTGTTTTCAACACCGTAAGGCCTTGTTCGGTTTAGATTGGATTGAAGAGGATTGGAAGGGATCGAGGGGGAATAATTCCACATCATAATAGGTGTGGAATAAATCACCTCCAATCATAATTCCGCACCACAATAGGTATGGAATAAATCACATCCAATCCCTCCCTCACAGGGATTAACCGAACAAGGCCTAAAGGAATCGTACTCATGGAGGAATTTCTACGACCCCTTTGGTAAGATCAAAGAGTCTGTTAAGATTTTCTTTGATGTTTCCATCTAACATCTACAATTGCCGTAGGGTTGGATATACACATCAGAATGGGGCCCAAGAGAACCCTGATCAGATTCAATCTCGTTGGACGTCAGCCGTAAAATACCATAACTCGGTCAGGCTGAGCTATAAAGTACCGCAGGGCTCAGGGCAAAAAGATCACAATCTTGCTGACCAGGAGGTGATCTCTACAATTTCCAATCTAGGTTTTCATTGTCAAGTCCTTGTTCATCAATCAATGGCGGTTGTTGACGATGGGGGCGAACAAGGGATTATCAGTGAGATAATCACCCGCCCGAAGCTGTCGAATGACGTCTTGGCTGATCGACAACTTGTGTTAGCAATGGAACCCACATTGACGGAGGCGATACATCAAGATGGGATGCAGGAACACACAGCTCGTGTTCAGGTTGGAGGTACCTCTAATCAAGGACCGGCGGGACTTACTGAAGGAGAAATTGTAGAGGAGGAAGAAGATGCAGTTGAGGTGGTGATTGAGGAAGAAGAGGTAAAGAAGGTAGGGCAGTGGACTATCTTGGCAAGATTCTACTCTCTGAAATTTCCCAATGTGGTAGCACTATCCGAGGACATGAGAAGGGCTTGGAGAATCCGTGCTGAGATGAGTTACAAATCTTTGAAAGATAATTTGTTTATCATCACTTTCAGCATGAAAGGGGATTACAACTTCGTTCTTCAAGGTGGACCTTGGCTGCATAGGGGAGATGCATCGCTTATAGCTGACTTTGATGGTTTAACAAGCCCGTCAATGGTACCGTTGGAGACAGTACCCATCTAGGTTCGTATTTATGATCTCCTATTGGTGATGATGAACATTGCTAGAGGGGAACTGCTTGGTAGTAGAATTGGCCGAGTGCGGGAGGTAGACGTAGAGGAGGATGGTTGTAGTAAGCATGATTTTTTTCGTATCCAAGTGGATCTTCCTGTAAATCAACCTCTGAAAACACAGCTAGCAGTCAAGATCAAGCTGAAGGGTAGGGAAGAGTTCCGCAGGTTCAATCTTCGGTATGAATGAATTCCACACTTTTTTTTCTTATGTGGTTTCATCGGACATTCTGACAAGGAATGTGAAAAGAAGATGCCTGATGAAGGATGTCCTTCACTCTTCTCTATGGAGCTGCGTTGCTCCCCTCTGAAACCGTTTGAAAGAAAAGTGAGTTGAGTGAAAGCAGTCCAAAATTCTGGAGTGTCAAGGAAAATAATATTCAGAGGTGCAGGGAGTGCGAGCTCATCTTCAAAAGGAAATAAACAAGACGATTGGCGTCAAGCGGATACTCTTCCCAGAGTTGATGCTTTTGATGATTTTGAAACTAGATAAACTAAAGGAGATGAGGGAGTGGATGCTCAGTTAGCAGAATAGACCAACCTTATGCGGGTCTCGGATGTGAACAACACAAGGCAGAGTCATCAGACCAATCCCCAGGTTTCAGTGGCAGCAGCGACAGGGTTACCTACAGGTGACGAACCTTAACCGATCCTGTCAAGTGAGATGATTCCAGCCATTAGGGACCTAAGTACTCCTCAAGACTCGATTGGTGAGGGATCTGTGGATGATATTAGTAGCCCAAATAAAAGGAAGCCTTTGTCCCAAATTGAGTCAAGGAAAACTGGTATTGTGAAACAAGCTCTGCTGGAGTACAGGCAGCTAGGAGATGATCCAATAGTGGAACAGAAGACGACTGGAAGCACTGCAAGGGCGCTGAAGAGGTTTAAGAAGGAATCAGGGAAGGGAAGTGATGTGGTGGACATGGAAACTACCAGCCCCTAGGCTGCTGGTTCACTGGGGGGACCTAAAGATGGGTCCCGCCAGAGACAATGAGTTGCCTAGCGTTGAATTGTCGTGGGTTGGGGAACACTGCGACAGTTCATGACTTGTGTGCCTTGGTAAAGGGGGGCAGGTTTTCCAGATAGTTTTTCTTTGTGAAACTAGACAGAAAGTAGAGAAAGTTTGTCGTCTTCGCAGGACATTGGGTCTTAGAGGTTTTGAGGGAGTTAGTAGCGAAGGTATGAGTGGTGGTTTGGCTTTGTTTTGGCACGAGTCTGTTTCTATCGATGTTAAAGCTATGAATGAAAGATATATTGATGCGTACATGCGTTTGTCTCCGGAATGATCCCCTTTGGCATGTTACCTTTGTGTAAAATCGCCACCGTATGCGTACATGCGAACCACAAGTGGAAAATTGCCACCGTATGTGGTCTATGTTGAATACAATCAGGCAATCTTCTAATCTCCCATGGATGGTTACCAGTGATTTCAATGAGGCTCTTTGGCATTTTGAACAATTCTCGAGAACTCCAAGAAATGAGAGTCAAATGCAAGCCTTTCGGGATGTCATGCAAATCTGTGAACTGCGGGATTTTGGTTTTAAAGGATTGCCACACACCTACGATAACCGACGGGAAGGTTGGAATAATGTTAAAGTGAGACTAGACCGTGCTATTGCTGATGATAGATGGAGAGACATCGTCACGAATGCACAAGTTGTTCATCTTGTGTCTCCGTGTTCTGATCACTGCCCAATTCTTTTAAACTTCCATGTGAAAGATGACAGCAGGACCCGCAAGAAGTGTCTACATTATGAAATAATTTGGGAGAGGGAAGCAGAGTTTACGGAGGTGGTAGGAGATGCTTGGGCTTCGGCAGGGGACAAAGGAGACCTCGGAGAGGTGAACCTGACACTGACTAAAGTTAATGTATGCCCTGCGTTCCTGGAGTAATAGGAAAATCAAGAATGTAGGAAGGGAGTTGGAAAGCGCAAGGAAGAAACTCTCTGATCTCCTAGAGGCAGGGGCTGACAGTGCAACAGTTCGACAGGCATCGGATCAAATGAATGAATTACTTTATAGAGAAGAAATGTTATGGCTGCAGCCGTCCAGAATTAACTGGCTAAAAGAGGGGGACCGCAATACGCGCTTCTTTCATAGCCGTGCAGTATGGAGAGCAAAAAAGAATCGGATCCATAAACTCAGGGACAGTGAAGGCAATGTTCATAGTTCGACAAAAGTATGACAGTTGATTATTTCAAAAAGATATATGCAGCTGACCCAAGCTTAGACCCAGAATGTGTTACCAGACTGATCCAAAAGAAGGTTACAGCTGCTATGAATGATAAATTATGTGAAGATATAAAGGAGGAGGAAATTGCTTTAGCAATATTCCAAATAGGTCCACTAAAATCCCTGGGACCTAATGGCTTTCCCGCCCGGATTTATCAGCGAAACCGGGGTATTATGAAACAGGATATTGTTAATCCGGTGACCAAAATTTTTCAAACTGGATTAACGCCTAT